CCGTTGTTGCACACGGTGTTAACGCGCGGCTCGTGGTTCTCCACTTCAGTTTGCTGCGACTGGTTCTTCTTCTGCAACGTGTTAACCTGGGACAGGTTGTTGCGGTATTCCGTGAAAGTTGCCAGGGGCATTTTTTCGGCTATCCATAGAAGCTCGTCCTCGACATCCCGTCGGAACTGGAGGGCTTCCTTCTTCTTCAGTCGCGGCTTACTTCTTCTTACCCCAGGCCATTTGCGTTACAATATGCACGTAACGTCATGTGAAGATGCAACGCCGTCGATTTGGTTTCACCCTGTGCTGTAGAATTACGACGCCCACTTAAATCCAGTGGAAAAAAACTGCCAAAGTCCTCATCGTTTCAGGCTAAACACGAAATCGTGAAGTCCAACGAGCAGAACGGGGCGACGGACGGCGCTGATCTGACCAAAGGGTCGCCCGCCGTACCCACAGGCAGCAAGCACGCTCTACCAAGTGCTGCCGCCCCTCTGGGCGCCAGTGGCACCCTCACAACCAACAACTCCAACCCGAACTCGCAGAGTTCAGCGCCGGTTTCAACTAATACCGGCAAGCGCGGTTCCAGTGGCCATCGGCGGGACAAAACGTCTCGAGACAAGCACGGTGAGTTCTACGATAGGGAATAAACTCTTGGGGCATATCAGCAACTAACCGCATTCTGGTCTTTCAGTGCACAGCAATTCATCGTCGTCGGCGGGCAGCGTCAGTCCACTGACCACCTCAAACTCGTCTTCCAGCAGTTCCTCGTCAGACAAGCCGCTGCCCAAAACAGGGACGGCAGGCTCGGCAAGTCCCAGTACAATGAGCGGCGTGCTTTTGCCGACCCCCACCGATATGAACGGTCTTTTGCGAACAGCGAGCGCCCCACAAACCGGACCGCCGCGTTCAGTGTTCCCGGYCAGCACGGGTCCGGGGCCGCCGCCCCCATCTCCAGGACCGCCAGCGAGTCCGGCGGCCGCAACCGCTCAGGGTTCGGCCGCCAAACCCGAACAGTCGAAAGTGGGTGTTTCCGGCAGTGGTTCTGGTGCGAATAGTGTTAGTGCGGGCGGCGCAGTGGTGATTAGTGCAGGACTGGGTGCGAATAATGGCCCAGATGAGCAGCATCGGACTAATAATAGTGGTTCACCCACGCCCAGCAAAAAGATCAAGCTGAGCGATTGTAAGGTAAGACTAGGACACTAAACTCTAACTAAAACAGATTTTATCTGCAGTGCACTCACTAAATAGCGCCCCATACACGAGCGGAATATCAGTCATATCTGATACGTGGCGAGCCAAATTCGAAGAAATATCGGTGCGTTAATGGTTAAGCATGAGCCAGATACGACTCGATGCGAATTTCGTACAAAATAAATATGCAGATCTGGACTTGCGGACCAAATTTCGCCGTTAGTGGGTACGGGCGAATATTAGTATCAGAGATTATTGCCCCCTAAGCACTCATGCTATTGCCATACTTCCGCGGCTTAAAGAAAATACATATTCAGATAAAATTTAACGGTTGACATTGGTACACATTTGAGATATAGTGTATAATGTTATAATTCAAGCAATGGGCAAGAGGTGATGATGGAAAATTTGGCTATAGAAATCTTGGAAGATGATGAGAGAATAGCTAATGTCACAGGAGAAAATCACTACTTCGATTACGAAGACGAAGCTTTTCAGAAAATACCCAGTAAATGGGCGGACGATTAATTTAATTTGTGCCTACGTTGGGCCGAAGAAAATGAATTGCCACTGTATGAAGTGATTCTTCGTATTTGAATTATAGATATGTTACAGACTGTATATAGAATCAGACCATATGTTCAAGCGCAATGATGTTTTATGTGATGTTTACGATTTCAATTGTTAACTGCAAAAATTGTGGTCAAAATAGTTTGTTCTGTGTTAAAGGCGACGCTCCATATGATATATTTCAGATATGAAGTTACAAAAGTAAATCAGATGTAGTCATTAATAATATAAGCTCAAATTTAAAAATATAGGTTTTATGAACAACTGTATGAGCGAACAAAATAGGTTGCCCAGAACAGCCGGGGTTTAACTAAAAGGTACCTAATGATTAGTGTGCACAGAACACATATGTATGTTTCTCAGAATTGCAGTATTTCACTAAGAAAGTGGTAGATCAATTTGCCTTTCTAACGTTGGTTTTAATTCGTTCGGTTTGTATCGTTTGTTTGTTTTTCTATTATTATGTATTTAATTGTTTTAATAACGTGTTTATAAAAAAATCCCAGCGTGCATTCAATTTCTAATTCTTTTGCCGCATTTTTCCCTATGGCTGCCGACGCCCTTCCAGTCTATAGTCTCGAGTCTACCCACTTTCTTCTCACTTTTTTTGCGTATATTTTCTGAAACCCCTATGATGCCAGCACAAGCAATAGCTATCCGTTTCTTGTTTCGCATTTTAAACACTTAGTTTAACTAATCTGCCTCTGCCACGACCAGATCTTTCAGTTCACTTGAAATACCACGCGCCAGACCAAGTCTGTCTGAAACG